AAAAAAAAAAAAAAAAGTCCTACCTTACTCTACTACTCTACTCATTTGGCATTCAGACTGATCCTATTTGTACAAAATCTTCAAAGTAAATAAATATCATCATTTCATAGCCCTGAAAATACGACGTCATGCTCTCCTCATCATTACGGATATTCCCGCCATTTATTTTCCGATTCAAATGCTGCACCGTTTTTGCTGCTCAAACGTATTTCTCCTCAATTTCTCGTGCGAGTTATCGCTTGCGGCCCGAGGTAATTGCGAGATTTCTGAAATTCAAGCAAAGATGTGAATAATTATTAATTTTTGTCATTCTACAAAAACAAAAGTAAAAAGGTCAAATATAAAGTTTATATAATATAATAAGCAAAAAAAAAAAGTAAATACCTCGATATGAGGGATTATTAAAGGAATTTTTGCAGTGAAGAATGGCGCCTTGGATTCCATCGGACTGCTCCAGCAGTGAGTCGTCCCTCCGGCGCATCGGCGGCAGCGCCGGCCCGTCCGTCGCCGACGCCGACCGGCTTTTCACCAAACTCCTCGACATGATCTTGAAGCTCCCCACCCTACGCACCTCACAGAATTTCCTGGAAGACAGATTCGCCGCCGGAGAAGAGGACGGCATCGACGAATCCGACGACCTCGCGTTCCTCGACACCCTGACGTAGAAAGGCTTCATCAGCTTCATGTATTTGGGCGCCGATTTCTCCCCGGCGGCGAGTACGTCGGGGGAAGCACCGTACTCACAGCCGTCCTTCAGCATTTTAGTCCGCAGGCTGTTGTCCCTGGCGATAACCGGACAACCGGCAGCCGGCGTCCCCTCCGCCCCGTTTTTCGCTGCGAATCGGTCGAGCTTCGACGATCTCAAGAGCAGATTCGCCGCGTTCGGCTTCGACGCCTTCTCGCGGCTCGGCGATTTTCTGAATCCAAGCATGAACACCTTGAATTTGGGGCCCGACCGTAGGATGCTGACCGGAGATTGAGGCTTGGAGCTCGGATAGTCCTTCGAATCGCCACCGCGGGTCTCGGAGGCAGCTCGATCGGGCGATTTGATGACCAGATCGAAGAACGAATCGTTGTCGTCGGTTTCTTCTCCATCCGAGCTGAACGCAGGATTGTGTACGTCATCCGCGCCGAGACCGACGTCAGCACCGGCGCCGACGCCGGCGTTTTTCCAAAACCTGAGGAATCCAAGAGCTTCCATTAGAGAGAGAAAAATGAGGATTTTGATAACAGGTAGAGAGAGAGATTGGGGCTTTTTGGTGTGAGAGAGCAGAAAATGGGGAAAGCTAATATAGAGAAGGGTTTAAGGCCGTGTTTGGATTGAGGTGGAAAAGAGGTGCCAAATGAGACAAATAGGTACAGTGAAAAAATGGGAATAGAAAAAAAAGTGGTGCCAACTGCCAAACAGTGTGTTAAGCTCAGGGGCACATGTATTTATTCAGAGTGGCAGATTATATATATAGACTAAGCCTGAGGCTGAGTGAGGAAGCTCATCGGGCCTTTGGAATCAAGACTGTTAGGTAGATGGGCCCAGCTGGGCCTTGGCCTTTCTCACAAGCTTTTTTTTTCTTTTTTTTTTTTAGTTACATAATCGTACCAAAAAGTTATGTGAACAAAAAAATTATTCTCGAAAAAGACCTGTGATGAAGGAATTTTAACTCTGCACAAAGAAAAATTTGATTGTTATTAAATAAATTTTACTTAAATATAAATTGTTAAAATATATTTTATTTCTTACTTGTAGCAGTTGTAGCGTTATTTTTGGTTCTAGTTAGAATTAATAGAAACGAGCAATTCGTGAGCCTGATTTGACTCATTTGAGTTCAAGCTCGTATAAAGTTCAGTTGGTTAACGAGCTCGGTCGGACCATTAGGTTTGAAATTGAAGGATTTTTACAAAATTTTCTAAATTCTTAAAATAATTCATTTCTTCAGATCAACCAGCCGAAATGGAGCTTGTCTTAACAGGTTTGAAAATTTAGGGTTTTTAAGTAATTTCCTAAAATTGCAACATAATTCAACTCGTTTGACGAGTCACAAATTGAACTCGAACTTGACTTGACTCATTCTCTCTAATAATAGTTTGTATATTATAATAAATATTGTCAGTTGTAAGGTAAATATGATTAAATTTTGTAAATTTGCACTTTTGGTCCAAATTTTCAATGCTTCCCCAAGAATTTGGGATATCGTTTGGAACAACTTTTTTTTTTTATTTTCAATTACACATTTAAATTTTATGGAAATACAGTAATGATTATATCCTGTGGTTAAAGTGAAATCAAATGTATTTTTATGTGTTTTGCTAGTCAAAATCAGATCCTAAAAGAATATTTTTTACATTTTTCATTCAATCAAATTAGGACACACAAAATAATAGAATAAAAATGCATCAAATTTTTTAATTTACAAATTGGGACTTCAAAATAATATATAAAATTAAATGTACAGCTCTTTTTTTCATTGGAAAATGATGGAACAGTAGAAGTAAGCTGACCATGTGTGCCAAAAAGGAATTAAATATTTTTATAGACCACAACTTGCAAAAGAAATTGAATTAAATATAAAAAAAAAAAGAAAAAAAATTCAAAATTAAACGAAAAATAGTAGGATTGCATGCATCTATATTTTTTGAACATATTTTCGTGGTGAAATATTTTATTATGAACAATTAATGTAAATAAAAATATAATTTCTTAAAATAAGTATGAATTTTCTGATAAAAATTCGAGGGCAGTTTGATCATCCTCCTTTGGGAGTCTGACCTTGGTTACAACATGATCTTATTGGCGTGGCTCACCCACGTCAGGTCGTGATCGAGCATTAGCGTTAACTTTGTTTTTCATTTCTTGTGCCAAAAAAAATAAAAAAAAAATCTAACTATTAAACTAACACTCATTTTTTTTATTATTATTATTATTTTTTTTTTTTTGTTTTTTGTCAAAATAAATCCCAACAGAAAAGTAGTAATTTTGTGATGTCTTTGTTCTATTTTTATGATGAAGTTGAGCTTTCATCTTTTACTTTTTGGGTTATTATTATTATTATTATTTATTTATTTATTGTTATTTTATAATAAATTCTGACGGGTCAGAGGCATCGGGGCTCGGGTCCTGCAGATGGGCACGCCTTTGGTCCCTTTTCGAGCGGGTCGGATTATTAGGGTCCGACTCGCTAATTTTAAAGGTTTGACCTATTTACATTCAACGGTTGTGATTCGCTAATCTTTTTCAATAACCTAAAAAAAGAAAAGTGAATTTTTATTTATTCACACCTTTGGAAAAAGAAGAAAATTAAAAGGAAACGAAAGAAAAGAAAAGCGCTTTATTAAAACAAAAAATTAATAAAGTTAAGAAACAACGTGGCAAACAAAAGGGTAAAAGAAGTAAAGGTCAAAAGACTGTAAAGGGAGGTAAAAATTTGCACAATTTAACACTTTTTTTACTACTAACTAATGCACACACAACATTTTGAGAGATTATACGGTCCCGTTACGAACTATTCTGTCGGAGTTTGTAATCATTAAATCAACTATCCACGATAATTATATGATGATTTAACGATTACAAATTCCGACGGAATGGTACCGTAACGGAACTGTAGCACTTCCCTATAATTTTCGTCAATGATTTATTTCTTTAATTTGTATAATTAATTTATCTTTGTTAGCTTCAAACCTTCAACAAGAAGCATTAATTTCTTCCCAACACAACACAACTAGATATGATATCTGCATGCATCCTAATAAAAATCAAAGTGATAATTAAATCACCAGACCCACTTGGCTAATTATCTCTTAGCAAGACAATTAATAGGTCATAATAATCAAAGTAAAATGTGTACTTATTAAATAGATACAAGAAAATTGATTACATATGTTGCTTGATGGGACAACTCTACTAAAAAAAACTTCAAAAAAATTACATGAAATTCTTATTCTTTTATTCATAACGATATGCTCGACTCTTTAACTAATTGAGTCAAATCGATCGTATCTTAACGAGCCGAGTCAAACAAATTTCACTAAGTGTTTTTTAATTTTCACGTTTAATAGTTTTAATAGCTAGCCGATTTTTGTTTCACAAATCTAATTGTTGTGTTCGACGAGCGATTTCTCACGTTTTTAACATACATGGTACAAATCTATCTACTATGTCGTAGATGAATATTACTTAATTTATCTGAGTCATAGAATGACAATTACTATTTAGAACATTTTTTTTTCTTGTTACAGGGACCTTCCGGTTTCCGGATCCACAGGAGAACTGACTAATCCGGAATCGAGCCGGGTAGGACCACAATGGCGGCAAAGCTCTCCCTCAAGAGTTTTAACACTGTTGCATTCCCATGGCTCGAATACGAGACCACTGGTTAGAACATTGATTGTAGATATATTGCTAAGTTAACTCTTAATTACAACTCAATTTGCATCTAATTAAATTGTCCCTATCCATATGTTTCACTTTTTTTAACCAAAAACCCTCAAATGACCTTGTACTTTAATTTAGAGCCTTAATCATTATATTGAGGACTTAATCTTTCTCCTTTGTCCCTTAAATACAAGAAAGCATGTTGGTTAAACCATGGGCACAACACCACATTTTCAAGATTAATTAGTACTTACGAAAGGTTCTAATCAAATTATGATGTTAGAACAGCAATTGTGCAACAATAACTATAACCTTAACCACAAAAATAAAAAATAAAAATAAAATCAAATTTTGAATGATATAATATAGTTTGCGTACCAACAAATCGATTTAATTTCAATGGAAAATCAAATTATTCAAAATATGATTTTTTTTTTTTTTGGTATGAAAGTATTATTTCGTGAAACTTGAGAGTGAATCTTGAGATCAATATTGTAGTTAGTTAGACATAATTAGAGTTATAAATGAGTCGAGCCAAACACTACTTGATATTCAGTTTGCCACGGTTGAATTTATAAAATCTTACATATTGTTTTTTTTAAAAAATATTTTAAAAAAATATTTTAAAAATCTTGATGTTTAGCAAATTAAAAAATATTTGATCTTTAATATTTGATCTTTAAAGATCAAATATTTTTTAATTTCTTATAAAATCTTGAATTTTTTTTTTAAAAAATTTTCGTCGAGCCTTAACAAAGTTGGTTCATTATCTAAACGGCTCGAGCTTGATTCATTCGTTTATTAAACGAGTTAAATCTAGCTCACGAGCAACACTTTCATTTGATTAATGGCTCTGAACTGATATTTGTATTCGTATAAATTATAATTATCGAACTTACAATAAACTAATACCATTGTTAACTAATACTCCCTTCTTTTCAAAATAAGTGTCGTTTTGACTTTTTTGATTCATCCATTTTGCTATGTATCTAGACATATTTATGTCTAGATACATAGCAAAATGGATGAATCAAAAAAGTCAAAACGATATTTATTTTAAAAAGGAGGTAGTATATTGCACAGAGGGACTGAAAAAACAATTTATCACGTGTTTTTCTTCTTAATCGCGTGCTGATCTAGCCTAGTTGTCAACGACGGTATATGTGATTTTATAAAATATTTTTTTCATTAATATATATTAATGTTTTGTTATAATTAATATTTTATAGAAGAGAAAATCTAGGCATGTATAATGAATCGCACAGGCCGATGTTGCTTTATTAGATTTATTTTGGTTTCTATTTATTTTTTTCCTATTCATTTACTTTGCTTGATACGATTAAATAAAATAATTCAATTACTTTACACGCCAGTATATTGTCCAACATTTACTTCATAACATAAAAAATAGTAGGATAAAAATGGACATTTACGAGATAAAAAATTCCGGCCTCTCTCCTGGGATTTATTTTATCAGCGAAGGAAGGATACAATGTGGGACCTGCATGCTATATTGGTGCCAACTAGAAAGAGTCATATCTCAATCATTTAAAGTAAACAAATGATATAGTGTGACAACTTTAGTTATCCAATCTCGTCCAAAAAAGTATGTAACACATTAACAAATTGATTTTGGTTAAACGTGATAGACTAGCTAGTTTATATAGTTGATTTAATTAGTTTATAAGCTTTTTCTATTTAAATAAATTTGGTTTGATTATATATTTTATTTTTAAAGTTGTAGGTTGTCCTTAAAAAAATTAAATTTCGGTTGACTTATTAATTTAGTTTACTACACAATTTTATGGTATCATCTAGCTTTCAAATTATTAGATATAAATTCGAAATTCATTAATTAAATTTACTAATTAAGCATAACTAGTACAATACTTGTGTAGTGTTGAGTTACAAAAATATATTATAAAAGTTATTGTTAACGCTACAAAAAAACACTACAATTCCAACGAAAAATTCCAACAACAAAATTTTCGTTCGAAATTTCAATGAATATTCCAACAAACTTAATTTTATGTTTGAATAAGTGTTGGATAGTTGAAGAATTCCAACTGATTTTTTCCGTTGGAATAGACGTAGGAATTTATTTCCATAGGATTTTTCGTTGGATATTTGCTATTCCAACGGCCATTTTTCCAACGGACTTTTATACATAGAAATATCCATTGGAATAGCTATTCCAATGGAAATATAAAAAATTCAAACGGAAAATTTCCGTTGGAATGTAAGAGTATTTTTTTGTGGTGTAATAACAGTTTTATTAAAAAAATTTATCGATTAATTAATGAAAACAAAAAGAAGAATAGACAGTGCAGAAATTGATTTGTAAATCATAACTTACTAGTACAACACCCGTGTATTATACGGGTGGTTGTTAAAGAATTATTTTTTGAATTTACTGCATTACCAGAATCCATGTTGTATGAGGTTGACCTCCTTAAATTTAGTTTACTTTTTTACCAAAAAAAAAAAATATATTACTATATATTTCAGAATGATATGTGTTACTTATGACTTACATGTGTTATATTATATTATATTAGTTTTTGTAACTTATATCATATAACTACTTGAAATATAAATATATTAGTTGATAAATAATTTTATTTTACTAATTAATATTACAAATATTTTTATTATTGTTATACAGATAAATATAAATTATTTTTTTATACATAAAATATGGATGTTAGATCGAAGCTCATCAAAAAAAAGATTAATTTGATATATTACATATGTAAAACTGATAAAAAATACAAAAGTTATTAATTTTTAAAGTATATATACAATTCAATAGTTATAATAAGGAATGATTTTAAAATGCAATTAATACATGTAACATGACCATAAATAATCAACATATTTATGGTAATCCGAACCTAATTATTTTTGGTTTGGAATTAAATTAAAATTTACCCAAACCTAATAACGAAAGCATATAATTTTGCCACATAGGATTCCGAAGCACTAGAAGCAGCAACGTAGGCTCAGCGCGTTATGTATTAATATATAGGGGGGGAGGGGGGATGAGAGAAATATGAAAGAAAATTATTAGATTGTTACTTGCCCAAATTAAGAAGGGAATTTGTATAAGAAAAACAAACAAAATTAAATGTACGCTTACCAAATTTGAAAAAAGTTATTTATGTCTATATCAAACCTAATTTCAAGACAAAAAAATTAATATACAAACAACATCGCGAAACATAGATTTTTGTCATGTCAGCATCTGAAACGTGTGAGTCTGCCACTTAAACTCAATACATATTGAATTGAATTAATATATAGAGAGAGATTTTTTAACTTATGCAATGTAACGACACACATATCGTACGACATTCATTTTTGGGATATGTTAATAATCAAATTAATTGATAGATAGACACTAAAAAGAAATGCAATGATGCTATGCTAATTATTACAAGGTACTCATGAATTTTACAGACAAAATTAACTTGATTATACCTAATCTCAAATTCTAATCACACCATTGGATATATTAATCTAATAATAATCACTTTCATGCATGTGGTTGCGGTGTACACGTGAAGCCATATGATAAAGCTATAATAGAAAACTATTTGCATTGTTGGTTCAGCGATTAAGGTAGGCTTTAGAATATTAATTTTGCCTTGTGTTAATTAGTAGTAATTACTATGCTAAACACGTTGTTAATGAACAAAGAATCACTTAAGAGCGTTTGGATGAGATGACTTGGGTCTCTTCCAGCTTAACCAGTGGTCTCGAGTTCGAGCCCTGTGAATGCAGCAGTGTTAAAATTCTTGAGGGAGAGCTTTGCCGCCCTTGTGGTCCTACCCGGCTCGATTCCTGATTAGTCGGTTCCCCTGTGGATCCAGAAACCGAAAGGTCCCTATACCAAAAAAAAAAAAAAAAAATGAACGAAGAATCATAATTATTACAGACCATAGGAAACAGAAACAATTTTTTAGGAACTAAATTAACTGAATGATACTATGCATGAGGACGATAAAAATAGGAAACAATAGGTAAAAGCCTTCGACACTAAAGAACATTGATTTCGAATTTGTCACTTTGCCTTAGCTGTGTCTCCTAATTCCATACGTTGGCCCTATGATAACGGGGCCGCCTACAAGACAAATTCATAGATTTTATTTAATTATACTCTTGCTTTATTTGAATATTATAGGGAAAAGAAAAGGCTAAATTCTTCAATTGGCCAACTGGACCGAGCTCGACGAGCCTGATCTGGTGATCCGTTTGTGTTTCAGTGACTCGATTAGGATTGAAAAATGCCAAGTCCGGCAGCCCATCGGACTCTATTGTTTTGAAACAATCTCATAACTATTTCTTGTTGTTATGGAAGTTTTATATGTTAGATGCACATTTATATTAGTTATTATGTGCATCCAACAATTACAAATCTCAACGGAATGGTTCCATAACGGGATTGTAGTATTTTCTCTTATTTATTTGAAATCTTACTAATTTCAAAATAAAAAGTAATTATTATAATATGTTTCTAAGAAAAGAAAAGTATTAATCACAATTTTCTAACTATATATTATAATAGTTTATTAACTTTATTTCACCTCATATAAACTTTAATAATTAAATTTTCTTATATTCCGTCACAACTTCCAATTTATTTCGACTTTTACAAGAAAAAAAAAATTAATCTTAATTTTCGGAGGAGACAATTTTTTGTTCATCTTTTATTATTAAAAATTCTAAGTGTAGTCGTTTTGTGTCTAACAGTTTTGCTACGAAGTTATCAGATGACTTGGTTTATAGAGTCATTCATAATTATTTGTATTGTCATGTGTCCTACAATAAATTTTCTTTAAATATGTGTCAATACATTAACTGATCGATGACTCTATAAGAAAACC